CAATCCAGCTCTTGTATAGCTTCTTGATACTCTATGGTTGCTCCTTTGGAATCGGACAGGGCACGAATGAGCTGGTACGCGAGGTTTGCGCCAGCAATGAAGTCGCCGGCGGAGAATCCGAAGGACATGAGGGGATATGGTTATACATTGACGTAGAAATGTTGATACGTAGATTACAATATCCAACAGAATAAACACAACATAAACGGAATAAAAAGAGTCGCCCTCGAAGACGCTGAGGGAAGGCTATACTAAAATATGGCCTCCCCGCCATCTCTTTATTTACTCCAGATGAGGGGGCCTGATACCCGGTCCTCTGACGTGTTACCATAAGGCTGGTAAAAGGAAAAAAAGCAAGGGATTATTCAGTCTCGTCCTGACGAATATTCCTTCACTGTAGCTCCCGAAATCTGTTGTTGTTTTGGGAGCACAGCATCCCGGTGGAATTGGTTGGACAGCGAGGCCCTAAAAAGTCTGCCTTGGGCGCGATGCTCCAGCCAACCATTTCTCGCAGCCAATCAAGATGCCGAACAAGGCTACCCGAGAATTTGGAGCTTCGGGACGAGGGCTCGTGAAGAATTGAACTTGATAGTAAATCTTTGCAGTGATGCCGTGATAGACGTCTCACGAGCAGTTTTCCCGTAGATATTGACGGGTGTTCGCGTGGGTGAGTACGGATGTGTTTTCGGGATTATCTGCAGGGGGGTGAAACCCTACTTTATTCCCAACATCAAGTCGTGAAAGGCATCAAATCCTCACCATCCATTCGCTTCAATTCCCATGCGGCTTTGGAACAGGTATATAAGGGCTCTTATCAGCGAGGGATATTCTGCAAGATCAATATTCTCAAACTCCCACCTTCGGGTGTACTTCGCGAGGAGTGGCCAAGATTCCACAACCACTCGATTTTGTCGAGTAAGAAGACGGTACTAGATTTCTTGGAAGCATCCCAGAAAGAGACAGGATCAAGCCTGGGATCGCTCTTCTAAACTCGATCATTTGTCCCATATATTAGTTGCTGTCGCCCTTCCCTCAATTCCTCGACGTGGGGAAATCTCGACCCTTCTTGTGGGTCTAACCACATTTTGTGTGGGGAGAAAGTGGAAACGAATCCAGTCCCTCCTGGCGGACCGTGATGAAGGCACGATACTGATATGGGACTTTCTTATCAGGACCCTTTTTGCGGGTCGTAGAAAACTTTGTATGTAGGAAACTCAGTCTCCCCACGTGGTGAAATATCTCGTCGTCAAAATTTGATGCCTCGAGACTCGAGGACGATGACTTGCTTCCATCTGTGGCTTCCCTGCGCGTTGCTTATTTTAGAACGTATTGTCATTGTTCAGTTCAAACCATGATGACAGCCAGCATCTGGGGCTGAGGCTCGGTCTTCAGCAGTGCCAACTGGGAGTTCTCGTTATATATTTGCATGATGTTATTATATGCATTCTTACTTGCTTTGCTTCATGTATCCCCCACAGACACCGAATGCAACCAAAGAATGTTGTGATTGTGTTTTGTTGCTGTTGGATCGGTGATCCCCACACTAGAAGGATTCTCGTTTAGATGGGTGTGGTCCTGGCTGAAACGTCGATGTCTGGAGAGGAGTGGATGTTCATTTCACCATGAAAACATCTTCAAGAGCATGTTCAGGAGAGGGAATTGTATACGTGAATGCCGAGATTTCCCCTTTTGTGAATACGATGAAGACAGTTCTTTTGAGGCTCAAAGATGACACGAAGAGGCTGACGGGAATGGTTATTTATGGAAAGAAGCTGTAAAAAAACAAAAAATACACCAACATCCCGCAACCGTTGGCGTATTTAGTCGGTTCCACTTTCTGCGGAGTGATACGTAACTGGAAAAAGGTGAATGATGGCTTTATTATTGTGTCAGCGTTCGTCCTTCAAAGAAAAATCGCTCAGTTGCAGTTAGAAAAGAATAATTACTTGGAGTAGAAGAGATAGAAAACATCTGTCTTCCTTAGATCATTCACTTACAACAATTCTCCCCTTTCTCTCGGGTTTCTCGATTCCTTCTGGCGGTTGTTTTGGTGCCTCGTATTTGGGATCCCATCTCCTCCCCGACCCTGGTCGTTCCTCCGGTTCTCCTGAATCGAAATCCCGTTCCACACACAACCAGTTCAGAGGGGCAGTGCCCGTTGCGTTGTACCAACGGATCTCTTCTTGAACCGATCAATCGTCAATGAGCCCATTGCTTGTCCTTCCACAGTCGTCGTACACAGAGACACCGGCCCAGATGTTGATGCTCAGCGGAAGAATAGCAGCTGCGAATCCTGAGGCCTCCTCGCCGGACACCGCCGCCTCCTCAAGACGCCAGCTTTCCTCCCACTGATAAGTTTTTTTAACGAAGAAAAAGCACCCGGAAGAAATCCCAATCGCGAAAACAATCCTGCCCATGCTTTTCTGCCACAGTCAAGGCCTTCATCGTACTCTAGAACATTCTTGGGTGAAACCCGTCCCACCATGTGGTTGTATCGAGGGGCCCAGTCCGCCGTCTTCTACTATGCCGCATGTACGCCCTGTGTCGCGGGTCTTGACCGCAAGAAGCGGAAACGGGAGGCCTCGAGGGCCATGAGACAGAAGGAAAAGGAGAGAGAGGATATCGTTACTCGTCAACCGACCGCATTCCATCAACCGTCACCGTTTAACACGAATATATATTGGCAGGAGGAGATCACGCTAGGGCCTGGGCCGCCAGCCAGACGCGGAGGGATCAGGAATGGAAGTCGTTCTGGAAGTCGGAGGAATGTTGCGTCACCTAGCAGTCCGCCAACGCTGTCTAGTCAGTCGACAAGGGAGGTGGATGAACCGTCGTCGCATATTCCTGAGACAGTGCCAGAGGAAGGAAAGAAACGTTTGAGTGGAGACCGTTGGAATTGGATTCGGTATCAGAGGGAAGATGAGGTGCTATGGGGTGGTGAAGTGAAGGGCTCATCGGTTGGATTGTCGGGTAGAGGGAGAGCGGATACCGCAAGCTCAAAGAAATATTACGTCGCGAAGAACCCAGCAGTCAATGACCTGCATCCTCCGGTCGTGAGTGGCCCGTCTAGCATAGCCGAAACGAGGTGGATGTTACAACCACCTCCTAATGCGAAGATTATGGCTGGTAAGGTCAGATGTGGTGGTCCTTTGGCTCGAACTCGGGAAGATAGTGTTGGTAGGAGAGCTGGTGGAGAGATGCTGTATGGAATACCACTCGAAGACTGCGAAGAGGAAGAGATGGAAGAAAGGGCGGAAGAACGAGATAGTTTTGGGCGACGATCAGGGAGGAAGGGCAACGCCCAGGGTTTCGACAACGCGTCTCATTCACCCGTGTCTAAAAAGTCCTCCCAGAAGCGATCTCGCATACCCTCCCCAATAAACATCTCCAAAGACCATACGTCCCAGCCGGAAACTTCTGTGGAATCAGAAGACTTACGCCTCCCCACGCGCCCAGCTCTCGCAACAATCGCATCCTCCTCAGTGACCGTCCCCACCCTCCACCAGAAATCACACCAACCCCACCGCGCCTCTTCGTCTATAAACTCCCTATCTAGCTGCCCATCGCCAGTCTCCACGGCGGGCGGAACATCACACACTTCAACAACGCCATGGCAATGGCAATTCAACTGGCCCGAAGAAACAGATTTCCGTCCATCCACAAATGACAGTGGCAAGGCGTTTCATGTTCCAGTATCAACGTCTCTGTGGGCTATAAACGCCAAGCACCGAGATCCGCATGACCTATATCTCGATGCGGACCATTGCTTGCCCGACTCGGAACATATGGAGACTGTGCGTCCATGTCGATGGAGTATGGATATTTGAGAAAGGTTTCATTATTCCACACTTCGTTCCTACTTACCGTCTTGTGGTCCTGTTTGACCTACCCTGTTGGAGTATCCGAAGAATTGGGATATCACAATCATAGAGCAGCCGGACGTCCCTATTCCCTAGGTGAAGGTGTCATTTTTTTTGGAAATTACCTATCCTCAGCAATACTTGGACATGCTTAACCTACCTCATACGTCTCCATCGAACCATTACTCGATTGTATGCATTGACATACTACATTTCCCCAACGGGCAATTCACCAACCTATCACCCCACCAAGGAGCCATAATCACAAGGTCTACTCCATCCCCGCCAACCCTCCGCTCCGCTCTGCCCATGCTTCCTCTTCCTATACCATATCCTCCATCACTTACACCTCAAAGGGAGAAACAACCCACCCATTACAATAAGAAGCCCTAAAGAGACTTCTCATCTTCCACCGTTTCCAATCCGATTTTCAGTCCCGTTATTTCAGCGATCATTGTCAGCCTTCCAGTTACGCTTCCTCTTCTTTCCTACTTTCTCGCTCTCCTCGTTTTCGTCTCCTATGTCTACTCTCCTATGTCTTGTGTTTTGTATCGGAAAATTAACGGTTGGGTATTGCATTGTTTCTTTTTCTTCTCTCTATGTATTCTCTTTTTTTTTTGGGTCTTCACTGGCGTGTACTTGTCGTGTACTTGTCGTGTACTTGTCGATTTTGCATTTTCCCCTTGCTACTATCGTTCCACAAGCGGTGATGTTTCTTTTCCTTTTCGTGTCGATATTTTTATATTGTTGGCATTCCGGCCTCCTACACGCATTCTTCTTCCTCTCCCCTTGAACCGGCGAACCTATCAACCTACTTCTACCTCTACCTACGACCCTCTCAATCCCACACTATCCCCTACCTCTACCTCTTAACTCAACTGAATTTACCTTTCGGAAATTGTTGCCTCTCTGCCACACCATCCATCTCGACAAACAGACGATGGACCACAGAGCAGCAGCCACTTCCTTCACATTGTTATATAAAACCCAAAAGAAATAAATGCAAAAATTCTCCAAAACAAACCCCTTCGCATAACTTAAAGATCCTAAGATCCCGGCATTCCAGTATTCCAGTATCCATCCATACGTCTGAATTGCCACTGGCTCAAAAAAGATAATAAAAAATTAAAAAGACAAAAAAGACTAACGTGGGACTCGAACCCACAATCTCTCCCAGATCGATCAATGATGTAAAACCGGAAAGGAGCGCCTTACCATTAGGCCAGCCAGTCCAAAGTCGTAATTTAGAATCTGGAATTTTTGCTAGTTCTTGGTGTGTACGAAAACTATGGGTTGAGAGTACGGGCGTCAAGATACATACATCTCAACTCCGATAGAAACCGATCGTGTGAGGGAGGAACTTAATCGGCAGTTCGATCTCGAAATATAAACACTCGCGTAATCTGCTTGGACGCGGGGGATTCATTCTCGTTTTTACACAGTGGTTCCTTTCGCTTTGATTCCCCGATTGGAAACTTCTGACCGGCCAGTGGCCCGTGATCTCTTCGCTATCAACTTTTATATATTTCTCCCCATCTTGCTGGGGCTTCGTTGATATATAGATCTAGAAACACAGTCTAAAACCTCAAAAAGAAAAGATCTCATATATATAAATTCTTATATCATCGAAAACGTATATTCATTTCATAGTTACGGAGGGTTCAGATATCTTTCTTTCCCCTCCCTCCCTTCCTTTCATCTCATTCCCTTGCGTTCCCATATCTCTATGATATTTTTGACACCAAAAGACTGAGCAAGAGAAAAAGGCAAGTTAAAACGCAAGAAGGACAGGTAATATTCGCCTCCTGAAGACATAAAAAAGAAAAAAACAAAACACTTTCAACAACTGGATAGATTTGGGAGGTATGATATGGTATGGTATGGTCAAGGTATAGTGAAGCCGAGATGGTGACACAGAGAAGAGATAGCGAGGAGAGAGAAAATCCAAAAAAGAAAAACGGGAGCCCAGAATTGTAGTGTAAACTAACTCATATTTCGAGGTAAGTAATCCATTTTCTTGTCCTCTTTTCTCTTCTCTCCTCATGTATCTTTCGGGACCGGAAAAAGGAGGTGGGTAAGTAAGGTAAGCAAGGAAAAATAACGTGTGGAAAGGATAAATAATATCATGTCAGTTCCCCGTTTAGTAGACCTTCTTCTTCTCGTCGACACTGAATTGGCCGGGACCCATGTTGACAAGGAGGAGGAGACCGCCACTGTAAGGGGGGTTAGTTTTATTTCTTATGATATGTTTCTAATGAATGGGTGGGGGCTTACACAATGGAGAGGATCTGGAAGAAGTCGTATTTGGCGAAGTCCTTGTGTGGGTGGCGGGCGTGGAGCTGTTCACGGTCATTAGTACCCGCACACGATTACTCAGTACGGGAGAAGAACTTACAGTCCAGAAGTTGTTCACGAGAACGTTGAAGACACTGAGGAGCACGACAAGAATGACGGCACTCCACTTAGCTTTGAAGCCGACAACAACCATGACACACGCCACCAAGCCGAACAGGCTAACTAGCACCCGCCAGAAGCTCCAGGAGCCGGCAAACACAAATCCAATGAACAGGAAGATCAACAAAACTCTCCCAGCGAGCTGGAAATACATCTTGCGGTCTTTCTCGTCAATTTGGGGGAGGCCTGCGGGAGCGAATGTCTTGCGAACCCAGGAGTCGGAGAGAACCATGAGGAGACCACCGACGACACTGAGGTTGCGGAGGAAGAAGTTGAGGTCGAAGATCAGGCCGTAGCCGAGAGCTTGGAGGACGACGACACTGAGAAGACCGCCAACGGCATAGTCGCTATGTTTGCGGGCGATAACCATGAAGGAACAAGACGTCATGGCCATAACGTTGAGAATAAGAAACAAGTGAGTGAGACCGGAAGGGACTGTGAGAAGTGAGTTAGCTCCGATCCGACCTGCAGCCGATTCCAGTAAGGGATAGCATCAACATACTGTGTCGGAACTCATTGAGGTATAGCAACTGATCATTCCACTGTGTGATTATCCTGAGCGCATCTTCAAGGAAGGTAACCACGATCAAGAAGCGTCCAATTGCGGGTAGATATCTGTCCAACGCACAATCCCCTGTCAGTTCGCTACCCCGGAAATTTCCCCGCCATGCAATCCGCATAAATGCTTCTATAGAGAGGACAAAGGAAGACAAAGACTCACGGCTTCACCGGATCAGCAACGGTATCTAACCAGTCCTCAATCTTGCTTGTATGCTCCCGAATCGCATCCAAGGGACTCGGGTCGCTGGTAGCCTCTACACTCCCTGGGCCACCGAAGGGGTTCTGGTTCCCTAGGTTATACCCTGCTGTCCCGCGTATCTGTGCCATTGTGTATGTTCTCTAACGTTGTTCCGTGAGTCGTTATCGATCTGAAGGTGTGTGGGTGTGTTGTGTCCACGAAGAGGAAGTAAGAAGGAAGAGGAACGAAGTGGACAAGGTGGTCGGGTCGGTCCGATGGTTTAGGTCGACTACCGATAAGTGGGATATGGATGTGTCGAGGGAGCGATACGGAGGCGCAAAAAGGAGAAAATAAAGGAAATAGAAAGTCCCTCTTCGTCGTAGATGTCGTGAGAAGTCCAACACTCTTCACTTCTTTTTTGTAAGTGAAGTCGAAGGAAAGTGAGCAGAAAGAAGGTGAGAGTCGGTGATGAGTTGAAGCTTTTCGATTACAGGCCACGATAACTCTTTTTACCATACCATTACCGGTTTTGGGCGATTACTCAATATTATTGGCTCATCGCGCGTAAAAGACGTTGGGCGTTTCGAGATGTGTATTAGCGGTATCTTTGACGCCAAGATACAAATCCGGTTAGCTCCGATTAGGTAACGCCCGATGAAATCATATCGAATGACATAATCTTTCCCTCGAGACGTCCGTCTTGTAAGCAGTGTGATCTCGAGCACTTTTGACACTTTCACTCGCTGATAAAAGCAGCACGATTTATGATTTCTTGATCTACAAACACAAGGTCTCATCTTACATTCAAATGAAGGAGTCAAAGTTGCTGTTGATATGGACGATCCTGTTCGACCCAGTATTCTTGACGTTGAGGGAGTGATAGCAACCAGTTCCCAAATTTGGTCGCATCACAAGGAAGCAGCATCCATAGAGCCTGGCATTCCGCTAGACTCTATATATCTCAAGAATCTACTTGGAAAAGCCCCTGTCTACCTTGCTCACGGAAGAACGGATGGAGGGATTCCATTCACTCTTCACAAGAGACATTTGAGAGACAATACAGACTCCGACCTTCTCATCAGTGGATATTCTAGATGGCAAACATCAACAGATGCCTGCAATCTTTCTCCGAGGTTCTTACACCATCAACTACTTCTAGGAGTCCAACGCTCGACAACATGCGTCTTTTCAGACGGATCAGACTTCAAATGTTGGCCGGGCGTGCAGGGTCTATCAGATGACGTCGTCGATGGCAATTACATTGCCATCTTTGTTCTTGCTTGGGCATAAATTCTGTCGGCGCTCTGGGTTGAAATGCAGCAGACGCAAGATGTATGCAGAGACTCTTCTCAGAACAGTGATTCTCTATACTATAGAGATTGTAAAGCTCAATGGGCTGGTGAAGATCTTCATGATCCCTCGAAACGTATCGAGGTTGATTTAGATACCATAGAAAGCCACGCAGCACGATGGTGGGCTGCCGTGCTAGCACCAGGAGAAGGATGGGCTGCAACTGTTTGTCGCAAGGGTCAAATCTACCGCTCGCCTTGGTCGGTTCGGACTGCTACTATTCAGTCATTTGTGCTGCGAGTCGTCTCTCATAATCATAAGTCCCATGATACTGAATTTAGTCCGCCATCTTCTACAGATGCACTTCGATTCCTCTCTGATTTTTGTACGACTCATAATGTCCATAGTCAGGGTTTGGCAGCTCTCTCGGCGGCGATGTATCTTCCATTTCATAACGGCGCGACGGCAACACTTCCTTGCCCAAAACCATGTCTCAAACCCACCACCACATCTTGTATTACGTCCTCACCCGCCTCCCCACAAGTTGCAGTCGACGAAGAAGAAAGCCTCCTGCCTTATTATATGACTATCAGTTGCAATATTTGGGGAATACGGTCTCTACTCCACAGCACGTTCTTCAACCCGGAGATCTACTGCAATCTAGTTAGTCCTTGGTTGGAGCCCGCATTCAAAATCATCGATCCCATAGTGGAGAGAGGTGAATACATGTTGCTCGCAAGCATGATGGCTAGAAGGCAGCCTCCACTTGGATCACTCTGGCTGGGGGCAATCCTTACCGGGGCCGCGAAGCCCATACTTCGGGATATCAGGTCTGGTCAATATGCACTGGAATTAAATTCTAGCGCGTGGACATCTACAACGCAATCATTCCTGACTGTTAGCCCATCGCACCTAGATGCTAGCGATGATCCCATAATACACCGCTCTGATGAATGCCGTCTTCTGTTTTTAACTGGAAGCGAGGAACATTCTAGGGTACCAATTTGTCCCTGGAAACCTTTCGGAACCACATCATTATGTGACACGGAGATTGAGGTTCAAACACACTCTCATTGCAAGGGACACTCTTTACAGTACATCGACTGGTGCTGGGATTTGGAAGGTGGCATGAAGCTTCAGGATGAAGGGTTTGATACAACAGCCGAGACAATAACAAAGGGGGATAGTCCTGCAATCCCGACCCAGCTCGCTTTCCAAGGAACCGAGGCCCTTAAATCCCATACGCTTTCGGAAGTGGCGACACGGAGTATTTTCGCTTGGCTCCGACCAACAGGGTATCCGTCAAGCGAACGGGATATTCGCACTCATCCTTGGCTAGATCTCGAGGACTCGGACGAAGAACTAGATGGAAGTGATAGTTCAGACCACCTTTCTAGCTGCAGTCACAATCGTTCAATTGGAGACTGGTTGGACGGTATATGTCGCCTCCCCGACTGACAACACACTTGTGGTAAGTCCCTCTCAATATTCCTCCCAAAGAACTAAACTAAACCAACTCCGAACCTCAGGAACGTGTAAGCACCACCACCACCACCACCATACCTGACGTAAACGTCGAACCCTCGAACTAACCATCCCCACCCACCACAGGCGGACGAAGAAAGCTGCCTCGACGACTGCATGCAAGCATGCACCCCACCATCCAACAACCCAGCCGCAGACTGCGGCTTGGTATGCGCCATCACATGTGCCCTTCCCTACGATGGCGGGCATAAGACGTCTCAGATT